CCTTAGGTATCTAGTCAACTTCTTATTTATACAGTACTGTAAGTGATAATACTGTCCCTGCTGTGTAGTTAGATGCAGAATTCATTTTACAAAAGGGGAAATAACTCTTATTTACACTTTATTATGGAATATTGTAATATTACATTTTTTCACAATGGAATGGACTGTTAATGTCAGATTTACTTTCATAGTAAATTTACCCTGATATTGTGAGGGTGAGTGACGTGATACTGGTCTTGTTTCCCTGTCCTTCAACCATCATGGTTCTTTCATAGTTTAGCTAATACACTAATGATTATTCAGCTGATAATCTTTTATAATGCTACATCTAAAGCATATATAAGACACATGATACCCCTTAGGTATCTAGTCAACTTCTTATTTATACAGTACTGTAAGTGATAATACTGTCCCTGCTGTGTAGTTAGATGCAGAATTCATTTTACAAAAGGGGAAATAACTCTTATTTACACTTTATTATGGAATATTGTAATATTACATTTTTTCACAATGGAATGGACTGTTAATGTCAGATTTACTTTCATAGTAAATTTTAACAACAAAGAGAAGATGGTGCATATCATGTTGGTTTAACTGTTAAATTGATCTTAGTTCAACTTGAATTTAACCTTACTTCAGGCAAAGGTGTTTTATTTTGTCAGTCTGAAGGTTATGTTTTTAATTCATTGATTTTAAGTGGTCGAACTTATAGATGACATATCAGTTGGTAATTCATCATTATAGGTTCTTTTTACCATCTAAAACAATTTGTTTTAAAAAAAAATTCAGTAGAGCCTGAACCCATTGAAAAAGAGGATTTTCTAGCATACGAAAATAAATTGTAGCAGAAATGTAATGAAGAAGTAGGTTCAAAGTTAAATAGGATAATCATTATCACTTTTGCTTTCTGAAAGAAAAACATTGTAATATCTATAAATTTATTTCAGGAGGGGAATAAAGGAAACAGAAAACGATCTCACAATGAGGCAGCTTCCAGCAGCAGAGATCAACAGATCAAGTCAGAGGTGGACAAATTTAATGTAAGTAGTCTCAGATAATTAGATTTCACTTATTGTAATACAAGTACAGTAAAACACGCTTATAATGAAGTGGTAGGGATGAACAATTTTGCTTTGTTATAAATGTAATTTGTTATATCCAATAAGTTCACAAAATATTTTAAAGACACAGGGAATGAAAGTCACTTTGCTATAAGCATCAATTCATTCTAAGTATGTTCACTATGAACGTGTTTTACTGTACAATGTCTGACAAATAACAGATTTCTCATTAAGTAATACAGTAAGGTGTCACAGGATACCATTTAAACTATTAGACTCAGGAGACTATTCTGTATTTTCTAGTAAATAAGAAACTTGGAGCTTTGTAGCAATTAACTGATGTAATCTTGTTTAGGTCAGTCATTCTGAAGAGATTGCTTTATGATTAAGTGTATGATTAACTAAGATTTATTTTTTGATTCCAGAAAAATCGTGGCACTGAATCATTGCTTGACATGCACCAGAAGAAAATGAAAAAGAAAATGGTAAGAGAATTTGTAACAGGTTAATTTGTAGTGTAAAGCAGGAGTCCAGTGTTGTGTGTTTAAACCTTGCTCCACAAAGACACAAATGTATAAGACAGGGATGGGCACGATTACTGAAAAATGTAATCGATTAATAATCGATTACTTAGAGGAATTTTGTGTAATCGATTATTAATCGATTACACTCATTTTTGTCCTGTAATCGATTGTAATGGATTATTTTGGAAGATGTAATCGATTAATAATCGATTACTTCAAAGTTTTTATCTCTTCAAATATCAAAGTAATATTTAATGGCAAATCACTAAATTTTGATGTTATCCACTGAAGTTTGAATGTGTTCCTGCAGTTTCAGTGCAGATTCTTTTAAGGTTTTATTCTGGCTAACATTCTCACTAAATGCCCAAATGAGGGATTCTCTACCATGGAAAGTGGAGACATGATTCCTACAATAAAATATGCCTAGATATTAATTATTCCTTTCAACCTTGGATCTGAACCTCCATATTTATTGACTTGTTGCAAAAATTATTTGATATTTTATTGTGAATTACTTCATTAGAAGTATTTAGGCTGCCCGTATGTTGACAGTACACATTAAACATTCCTGTACGTGTCTTTTTCAAAAAATTAGTAAATTATAACTCTTAGTAATAAACATGTAAATTAAATGTGTCTTTAAGTAATTAAATTAATAGCACAATTTCATTCTATTTTGAAATAAGTGTTTTGAGAGCTATTAATTGTTTTAATAATATTGTTTGTCTTCAATGGAATGAAAGTTAAACACTAGGTAGTTCACAGTTTACACCTCATTATCTGCCAATCAGGGATGTCTCAGTCAATTAATTAGCGAATTAAGATAAGCAAACACAGTGACACACTCCCTCTCTTACAGTCACTTACAACCTCTCACTGATATAAAAACAACCTTACAATTTTGAATGAAATCATGAGAATGATTTTGCAAATTTTAAAGTTACTAAAACACAAGTTTGAAATTGTTTAAACATTTTCAGATATGAATAAGTATTTCCATATTCTTTTTTTTTTCGAGTACAATGTAGTTTATTTACCAAATAATTTATATTTAATACAGCACTTAAATCTGTTTTTGCTGTTTATAATTTTCTATTACAAGACAAAGTTTTTCAACATCTTAAATATGAAAAAGGACATGAAGCAAGAGGACAGTGGGTCAAATGTAAAATGCACACGAAAAATCTGTATATTCTATTAATAAATGGTTGAAATACACTTCTGAATTATTAAGTACTAGACCAGTAGGTCTATAATGCAAATTTTATTGAGAACATTATTAAACGTATGATAATAAAAGTAAGGAAATCTAAACATTACACTAGGTGGTTTATATTTGATATTTATGTGTGACTGACTCGAAATAATTCTCCATTATAACATCCATTTGTGTATAAAGTAATCGAAAGTAATCGAAAAAGTAATTATAATTATATTGAAAATTTTAGCTGTAATCGATTAAATTACGATTACAAGTAATCGAAAATCTCTTCCATTACAGATTACTGTCGATTACTTGATAAAAAGTCATCATTACAATCGATTACGATTACTCGATTACGATTACCCCATCCCTGGTATAAGAACATTGTATGTTGAAAGGAAGAAAAATGAATCTATTTTGTGGAATTTATGATGACTTAATGTCTAGAATTAAAACTTATAGCTGAAGGATTTGATCTTTCTTTTAAAAAAAAGTTTAGAATTATAAACAAAGTCCATATGAAGCATATAAAAATGTTGGATTTAATTCAGTGAAAATTTATAAAATTTTTTCTTTTTCATTGAACAGAAAGAGGAGGAAAACAAACCTAAAGAACGACGACCTTTTGATCGTGACCTTGACCTTCAAGCGAACAGATTTGATGAAGCACAAAGGAAGTCTATTATCAAGAAATCACAGAACCTCAACAGTAGATTTAGCCATGGGAAGGGCAGTCAATATTTATGAAGATTTAACAATGGGAGTGGTAGTCAGTATTTATGGAGATTGTTTTGAAGTGTATAGTGGTCAGACAATATCTCCTCTTGGATTAGATACTTGAGGTCAATAGTTGTGAAAGCTTTATTTTTACTGCATTCAATACTTCATTTTTGCAAAAGAAATAATATATCATGTAAAAATTTTAGTAGCCTGCTCGTTGTGCCTAATGGTTCATGGAATAACAAAAAAAGGATGCAAATGAATTTCATTGAAAACACAAAGACTTTATCCTGTAAAAAATATTTTATCATTAAATTTATGTGAATATGTAAGCATTTTGTGACTTGTTCAGATTTAAGTTGAGCTAATAACTTAAAATATACATGGTTTTGTACTTAATCTGAAACAGAACAATTCCATGAGCACATAATGTAGAAGTTTAAGGAAGCAGGTATAGACACACAAGGCTCTTTAATTGACGTAAACATTGAAACAGAAATCAAGAGATTTTAGAAAAGTGAGATGCTTTTTTGTAATTTTCTTATATAGGTGATTTTCTGTCAAGCATATTTGATATTTGTGCATCAGATGTATAAATTTATCTGATAGGCTAGCATGTACTCTGTTTTCTGAACAAAATGGAGGATATTGGCATTTATTCCAGCATTTCTGTATACATTCTCTAAGATTAATTATTGTTTAAAAGCATGTATAATCACACATATGCACTGAGTCAAAAAAAAAGTAAGACCAAAACAAGAGGCCCATTGGACACAATGCTCACCTGAGTCAATATGCCCTACTGTTCTTCAGCAGCAGATTTCTTCCCCTATATATTCATATGTAAAGCTTTGATCACTTGCCACCCTACCCTGGTCATGATTTGAACAATCCTGAATCTACACTTGACTACCTGGAGATGCCTCCATATCAATATGACTAATCATAGCTTTGTTGTTCTTGAGAAGAAGATTTGTAAATATATTAAAGTTTTTTCCTATATATTCCTATGTAAAAGTTTGATCCGCCCACTGTCTCCCCACCTTTAACTTTAAAAGTTGAAACTTAACTGAAACCTTCATTACATAGTGTAGATTCAAATTTATTCAAATTATGACACCAGGGGGAAGCCCTGGAGTCATACCCGGTAATTTGAATAAATTTGAATCTACACTATGTAATGAAGGTTTCAGTTAAGTTTCAACTTTTCTTGTTCTTGGGAAGAAGATTTTTAAAAGATGACGCCAAAAATTCTTAATTATCTCCCCTCAAAAAGGGCGTACCCCTCCATATGAACAAACTTGAATCCCACCCAAGAATGTGGCAAGTTTGGTCAAAATAGGCCCAGGCATTCTTGAGAAAAAGTCGAAAATGTGAAAAGTTTACAGACGGACAGACAGACGGACGCCAGACAAAATGTGATCAGAAAAGCTCACTTGAGCTCTAAGCTCATATGAGCTAAAAAGTCCTTAACTTTAGGTTCTTTTTGATTTAAAATACAAAGCTAAAGAAAAACCCAGCTACAGATACGTGGGGGAGGGAATCCTTGAATTTGCAGCATAAAATTTTCTTGAAAGCGGCTCTGAATTCTTTGTTGAAGAATGTATAAATAACCGGATTACAGGCTGAATTAAAGTAACCGAGAAAAAGCACCAGGCTCTGTACAAACTCCGGGAAGACACCTTCTGGACATAAAGGCACTAACAGTGCTACAATGAAGAACGGAAGCCAACAGATCAAAAAGCACCCCACCACGATACCCAGAGTACGGACAGCTCGACGCTCCTGAGGCAGAGAAATCGTGTCTCGACGCTTCAAATGGCGACGTTTTAGGACATTTTTTACTTGATTTTCGCCTGAATTTCCTGTTGTCAGTGATGTTTTTGGAAAGTTTAGGTCGTCTCCATTCTTTATGGTCTGTCCTCCCCGACATTGACTTATAAGCTTCCCTGTTTCCTTGTCCACAACTTCAGTAATAATTTCGTCCTCTGCAATGCTGGGCATGCGTTCTGGATAATCTTTTGTTGTCGTGGTGTCACTTGAAATGGAGGCTTCACCAGACGTGGTAGTGTATCCGGAATCAGTGCTAGAAAGAAAAGAAATCTGACGCACTAGAATGGGACGTCTTGGTTTTATCTTTGGCTGATCAAGAGTTTGATTATTATCAGTCACAGGTACTTCCTGTTTCATTTCAGTTGATGTCTCATTCGGTTGACCTTGATTTTCGTTTTCTGTATTACCAATAGGCTTGTTCTTGCCTTCCCCTTCCTCTCCTTTATTACAATATAAACCACATGTTTTATAGGAGTAGCACTTCCGTCTCTTTTGAAACCTGTTCATAGATTTAATGATCAAACTATTTCCTGGACCCCTCACCCACTGTTTACCTCTTAACCACGTGACCTGAAATATTTTGCAGTAGAAACACAACATTACGATTAATGGTAAATAGAACGCTCCAATAGTAGAATACAGTGTGTATCCCACATTTTGAGAAATGGCACATGACTCTGGGGACTTTGGATCCGGTGTTTTCCATCCGAGAAGGGGTGGTAAAGCAATGACTATAGAATACACCCAGGCAATAGTGACCAAAAACAGGACCCTCCGAACTGTTCTGAACTGTGCGTAATGGAGAGGTTGCGCTATAGCATTATATCTGTCGTAGCTGATCATGCACAGATTCAAGATGCTAGCAGTGCAACAAATGATGTCCATAGAAACCCAGAATTCACAGAAAACGGGCCCGAAGTTCCAGGTCCCCTGGAGTTGATAAATCAGCGCAAAGGGGGTCACACAAATGCCGACAAGGACGTCACTGAGAGCGAGGCTGACAATGAAGATATTACCTACCCTGTGTAGACGTCTGTCCGTGAGGATTGATAGTATCACCAGACTGTTCCCGAAGACAGTGGCGATAATGATGATGACGGCGAAAATGGCGATGAAAATACTTATTGTTCTGCTCACAAAATCAGGACCGATATTATTCATCTTAGGAAGAATGTCCCGAAATGGTGTTGAAATATCGAGGATAAAGTTAGATTGCACCCTGATCGGAGAGTTTTACAATATTAACCCGCAATTTTCTGATTTAAATGTTGTCCATTTGCAAATGTTTGCGAATTGTCTTCTAAAATATTCTCATATTTCCCTTTAAATATACATCCTCGACAATTCAAGTCGAGCATGTCTTTTCTTAAATGATGTGAAATAAGGAAGACAGATTAGATTGCACCCTGATCGTAGATTTTTCAACATTTACAATTAATTTTTTTGTCATCGAGTTCTAGCTTCTAATTTAGATGAAGTCCTTTTACAATTTTTCCGTCCTCAAAGTACTTTCACATTTCGATTTAAACATGAAGTCCAACCAGGTGATCGAAGTCTAGGCAATCCAGAAATACGAAGCGGTCTGTAACTTCATGGCATTTCCGTTATGTGTAAGTTAATCGCTACCTCAATTAATATATAACACCCGATGCATAATTTGAATACGAGTCTGTCATGATTTAAGCATTGACTTTTCTCTCTCTTTTTTTTTTAACCTCTCTCACGAAGTCCTGGATATAGTTTTTCAACAAATGTCCATATTAATTAAAGAACAATAGCACGTGCAATCCTGCAGTATTTCTATACTTAAATATTACGCATCCAAATTACTTTCAGCAGTTATAAACACAGTAAATTTTCTTTCATTTGCTCTGCAAAATAGCAATCACTTTATCCGACACTACGAAACGGAGTGCTCCTGTCCACACGCTTAAACTAGCGTCATATTTTAAGTTTTAGTTATAGCGTAGTATAGTATCTTCAAAAGTGTGCAAGGAATTCTATGCTGCTCAGAAGGAGACTAACCATATTCAAGGACCAGTTAAGGCAACAGTTTAAAAAACAAACATTGCATCAAGGTTTATAAATTTTTATTATCCCGTAACCAGATTTGGTCATTTTGTAGGCAATTGCAGCCAAATGTTAGATATTGTCTATTGATTAAACTCGGACTATTCCCTCGGGAAACTGTATCGCTCCGATCGGTCGTCTTGGAATCTCCGACTGTTCAACAAGACGTTATTAATATTCAGAGTGTTAGAAAGCGTGGGGGGACAGATTATTGTTAGATTTGTCTGTGATTTAATGTAAAGGTCAATGTATACATTGGTCGTTATTGGCGGTGAAACAAAAACTTGATGTACTAAAAGGCCCGTAGGAAACCGGGGGGGGGGGGGGGAGGGAGGGTTCCCTCCCGATAATTTTGCCAATATATATTTTATGGAAAAAAACAATGATAATTTACTTTGCTTATTTGTTTCACTTCAATGCTGAAGTCTTACGAATTTTTTGTCAAGGAATTTGTGTTGGGTTGTGCCCCAAACTGAAACTGATTCAGGGACTACTAGCCAGACTATATTTGTCCACCTGTTCACATCTTCTACAATCTCCGGAAATTGAAATACAGATATGACACGGTTCCTGACCGTATAATTTATATAAAATTTTTATTATTTCACACAAAGTTTGTACTCCAGTACACAAATCTATACAAGTATCTGATATTGTTGGATTTAGAGTTCTGTGTTATTGATTGCTACATGTATGATAAAATATAGGCATCGATTCCATATTTACCTTCAAACGGTAAAACCGTGGATGAAAGGTAGGAAAATCTTCAGATGGGAAAATTATCAAAAATACATTATATTTAAAATTATTCACTCAATGACGTGCAAAAAGAAAAATAAAGTGCAATATACACAATTCCTAGAAAACATGTTCCACTTTTGTCAGAAGCTGCAATACGTGCATTATTCAAACCTAATCCTGATCAGATCCGTCCTCCAGTTTACTTCAATAAAAATCTCTGGTTTTATTATATATTTACGCATGAAAAATTCAGTCTTTGCAGATCACCTGTTTCACTCATGTGACCCATTGCTATCGAAGCATAAGCATCTTTTTGTAAAAGACAAAATATCATGGCGCACATATCGTATTTGTTACGAATTTGCGACTGAGCTTTTAATGTTTTCCCAAAGCTGTGGACCAGACATGATTTTCATTCTTATAATCTCCATGATTCTGAAATTTTAGTAAACCCATGCTAAGAATCGCAAACTCTTTTTGCTAGGTATGATTCTCAAACGTTTCTGCATTAAAATAGATAAGACAAAAATTTTTATTCATTCACTGATCAGGATAAACAATTCATTTGAATAAGTCTCCAAGGTGTTCACTTACAAATAGGAGGCTTTTTAAGTTGTAGACAATCAGACTGCTAGTCAAAATACACATTTACCTCCTCTAGGGAGCTTTGAATTTGGTACACTTGTCCAAAAGTTTAAGATAAAATTGATGTTAAACTTTCATTTATGATTACAGTAATATGTTGCAAATATATTACAGAGTTATTATTTGGAGTTAAAACAAAGGAGATGGGCGAACAAGGCATGCAACATGCATAGCTTTAAATGTGTTATTATCAAATTCAATTCATGAAATAAGTATTAAGAACAAAGTTATTATTGAAAGGTGTGAAATTATAACAAACAAAACATTCTGTGGAAAAATTTATTTATGTTAAAAAAAGGATATCTTGGGAATTGAATCCAAGCGATAAAAATCCTGAGTGTTAGTCTTTCGCTTGGAGACCAGCACTACACCACACGAGCGCTCGCTCCGTGATCGGGAGGTCGTGAGTTCGAATCTCGGCCGCGACTGACCTAAGTCGATAAAAAATGGGTAGCAACTGTTCCTTCGCCATGCGCTCGGCACTTTGAAGTGAAAGTTGCGGGTCCTTCGGATGAGACCTTAAAAACCGAGGCCCCGTGTCACTGCAGACGTTGGCACGATAAAGATCTCTCACTGCTCAATGGCCCTGAGTAAAGGTCAAAATTTGAAGCCCTTCACCGGTGTATGGTGAAATCTCTATATGAGTGAAAAATTCTCGAAAGGGGCGTAAAACAAGATACAATCAATCAATCAATCACTACACCACACAACTCAAAACAGGTAGTGGATTTAAATCTTATTCGTCATGTGATCCTTGAATTACTGGATTTCAAATATTACTAGAAAAGATAGGAATTTTGTGCCATAAAAGTGTATTTATAAGGTAGAGTTTGTCCTTACTCCATTTTTTTTAAAGAAAATTTTTGTTAAGCAAAGATGTATATCTTTAATCATATTTTAAAGAAAACGGAGCGAAGACTCACTTGCCAAGACATATAGTTTGAAAAGTTTGGCAAAATGATCATTTTTGCCCTTTGGTGTGTGCATGCTTTTTATTCACATTTTAACACTTTTGAGATTATTGCAAATTGTGGAGATTTTGCAAGTAATATACAGTAAACTGAAATATAAAAGAAAGCTGTGTTAGAATTGAAAATCGATTTTTTTTCACTTTCTTATTTGCCGAACTATAGGCATTTTTCTCAGCTTGTTCGCCCATATTTTTTTTTCTAAAATATTATCATTCCTCAAAACTTTTAGTCTGCAGGAAAACCTGTGTCTTATTGTATAGGCATAAAGGCCCTCTTTAATGCCCACAAGCCAAAAAATACTTAATTCCACAACTTAAGAAAAACAGTTTTAATACACAACCTGTTTAAGCGTTAATATAGAATTAAGAAAATTTCTTACGTCATCTCTGGTCCAAAAACAACAAGGTCAAAGTCCTCATTCCTTTAAATCGACTTATGAGATCAAGATACACTAAACCTTTTGCACTTAGTTTCGTTGTATTGTTATTTTTTTTCCATATATGCTTAGATAAACATTTAATTATTAATGTACATGTGTATATATTTATCCGAGGTTACACTGTAAATTGCTATTTTTACACTCGAGAATGAATGAAATATATGGAGATAACGAACAGTATTCAAGCTCAAAAGTCCAATGAAACAATACAAAATAGGAGCAGAGGAAACACGGACCTCCAGACATCAGAAGTGGGATCAGGTGCCATGGAGGAGTGAGCATACCCTGCCGACCGGTCACACCCGCCGTGTGCACCTAGTCATGATCGGGAAATAACGGAAAAATCCGTCGACAATTCAGGGTGTAAATAATGGCCCTAACAATTAGTATGAAAAACGTCAGTTAGCATTTGACTTAATGATAAATTGTATTTGCTGACAAGGTCATTGTATCGACCATAGAACTTACGAAATGATGACTTTAAACGAGACAGCTGATATTCTTGTTTCATCAATTTATTTGTCAATAATTTACCTCGTTTTAGAAATTGTACATACGTAGAGCATGCTTTTGCGTATCGAATCAACTGAAAGATATATACCCCGTGTGCAGGTGATGAAGGTATATTGCTGCATAAGTAAGGGAAGTTGACGATTGAAAAGTTAGAGTCATCACGTTTATCATAAAGCTTGGTTAATTTTTCCATCTATTTTCAATTTTAATTTCAATTGATAATTTAGAATCAGGCGAATGCAAGAGAAAAGGTAAGACCATAAAGCTTTAAAAAGCACATCTAAAATGAAAAAAGTGAAAAGATAACTCAATATTATAGAAGTAGTTACATATCTTCTCTACACTGTTTTGTCAGTTATGAGAATAAAAGTCATTCTTTAATTCATTTATTCATTGTAAATATTTCTTTACGTTCTTTTCTTCCGACCCCCCCCCCCCTTTAATTAACTACAGTTCTGGATTTTATATTGATTAAATGCTTTGCAGAGCCATTTCCTGTATTAAAAAAAGCCATAAGTCTAAAAGTTACTTATACAATTTTTTAGCGATTGATAAAGAAGAAACCGAACTTTCCCTGGCCAAGGTTATAAAATAACAAATAAATAAATTTAAAAAAAAAAAACAACAATAAATAAATAAAAATATAAGATTAAAAAAATATTCAAAACTGCGATAAATATATGTCACCGCTAGTCACAAGCGAACTATTTAGGTCTTTCCCCTATGGTTCATGAATTTTGTCTAATAACATAGAACTGTCATATTCCCAATTAGAAGAGTAT